TTCTACGGCAGGGGGGAAGGGGAAGATTGGCACAGTATGCAGTGGAGAGTAAGTTATGCCAAAGGCAAGAAGCCGAAGGTCAGGGGTGAGTCACCCAAAGGGCGGATAAGGCGAGCCGTAGTGTCCCGGATAAGTCCTCATACTTATTTCGTAAAGGTACTCTAATCGGTACTGGACAGCCTCAGGGGAGGGAAGAATGTACTCCAGGACACGTAAGGCCTTGAATAGTAAATCCCATGGTTAAGGATAGTTCCAGGATATGAACTAGGGTCCCTGGGTCGTGAACGGGAATGTTACACGCGGACCGGAAGAGGGCATAGGTAATCTCTCCCGGTAGAGAGATAAGTCGGATATAAATCGTGTATGTGCGTACCATAAGTCTATCGGTCGTGTAGTGAATCCCATAAATTAGTAGGGTGGATATTTATGCAATTATTCTGGACGGCCCTGCGGTAAGTATCTTTGTCGCCGGTTAGCGGAGCATGCATATGGATTTCGGAAAGAGACATTTATCTCGCCGGGGAGATCGCTATTAGTCAGGCACCTAACGCCATCGGAGGGAATTCGAGGGGCGCTAAATAAATTTGGGGTGAATATATGACGAACGAACGTAGAGAGAGGATGAGAGTGAGAATGGTAAAGGATGAATCTTAGGATAAGGCCGATGGGAGTTTAGCGAAGCTCAGTTAGGACAGTCAAACTAATTAATCTCGAGGGCAACTTAAAACTAGCAACGCTAATACGAATTAAGTGGGCAATTTTCTTAATGGGAAGGCCAGTGATATAGGAATGGGTGACTGGACGAATGATCACATTCAATTTATCAATGTAATTACCACCCATATGTTTGGCAGTGGTCATCGGGACTTCGAATGCCCTGTCCTTCACCTGCCCAACTGTGCCGCAAACCCAGCTGATCGGATACCTCTATCCCTAATCCGAGCAGTGAAGAAGCATCTCGTGCATCATGGTCTATACAATGAACAGAATCATCAAGCCTCTAAATTAAAAAGCATCTTCCATCAGATGTATTTGTATGCAAGGTGGATCTCTAGACATCTCCCTCAGGTGGATCTCAACACCATCTCAAGATCTCTATCAGGTGGATCTATATCTACATCTATCTCAGGATCTCATCACTATCTGGATCTCTCTCTAGATCTATCTCGGGATCTTTTCCAAGACTCTCAAGCTCCCCTGTTCTACCAGTTCAACTATCGAGTTCATTCCAGCAGCAAATAGCTCTGTTCCTTTACAACCAGCTGAACGACAGTGGACCGCGGTGCTGGATCAACCGCAAAGAAGGCGTTTGATTACCCGCAAGGAAGCAGTTATTATCCTCTCTTTCTTCTTCTTTTCTAAATCCCCTCGCTACACTTACGTTTAATTAGAATTAAAGGGTACATACTTTTATGCACAAAACAAAAAACAAAAAGGACATCCGCCATTTAGCTGATCAGCTCCGGCCCGAAAAACACATTTTCGTGAACAACCCGCCCCACCCCGCCCACATATTAGTGTCGCGCCACTATAATTAACTAGAGAGCTCCGGTGGCTCGCTGTCCGCGTGCCGATGTCCACGACAGGTCAGGTCACACGTGTCCCTGTCCTGGAGACCGACCGAACGTGACTGCAATAATTCCCCACGGGAGACGGGTAGGTAATGTAGATAATGTTGTCAGCTCCGACACTGGAAAGAGGGTATGAATGAGCGATGGAGAGAGAGAGAGAGAGAGAGAGAGAGAGAGAGAGAGAGAGAGAGAGAGAGAGAGAGAGAGAGAGAGAGAGAGAGAGAGAGAGAGAGAAACACGGGATGTTGTTATGGTTAGGCAGCCCGGGTATCATAATGCGATGAAAATGATAGGACTCGTCTCATGGACGTCAACAGGTAGGCCGGTTGGTAACGTCAGTTGCGCAAGTCCGCTGCGTAATGGTTTTGGGAGGGGTTGTTTATTGGAAGACAACGGAGGTGGGCATTATTACATTATTACATTATGGGCATTATTTCCTCGCCCTTTGAAAACGGCGGTTATAAAACCAATTTTTAAAGCAGGGGATAAGCAACGTTTTACAAACTATAGACCAATAAGCATACTGCCTTTTATATCGAAAATACTAGAAAAACTAGTACATACCCGACTTGAGCATTTCTTTGAACATAACAAAATCATCACCGAATTTCAGTTTGGTTTTAGAAAAAGCATGAGCACTTACATGCCCCTTCTTTTGGTTCAAGAAAAGGTAAACCAAGCATTTGAAGCAGGCAAAGTTGTCTGCGGCTTATACCTTGACCTCCGAAAAGCATTTGACACTGTGAACCAAACCATTTTACTTAAGAAACTGTATGCTTACGGTATACGTGACAATGCACTTATGATGCTGAAATCATATTTAGAAGGCCGCACACAATGTGTTGAGGTAGAGCATGTTCGCTCCAGCCTTGCTTCGGTTGATATCGGTGTTCCCCAGGGCTCCATCCTTGGGCCACTTCTGTTTTTAATTTACATCAATGACTTTCCCTCCATTTCTGATGATATAACTGCATATCTGTATGCAGATGACACAGCCATTTTCATTGAAGGCAATGATGAAGCCCATTTGCAAAGAGTCATCGACGCCACAATGCCCAAGATAGCTGTTTGGTTTCAAGCAAACCAATTATCTTTAAATACAGACAAAACTTTTTGTCAGCTCTACAATAATTCTAAACGCGCTGTCAATGTGTCTGTTTTGCTCTCTGGTGCACATATTAAATTTGTTAAAACAGTTAAGTACTTGGGCATGTACGTAGATGACGATCTGAAATGGAAATCACACATTTCACACCTTTCTACAACGCTGACTCGTAACGTTGGACTCATAAGCAGAGCTAGGTATATATTGGTACCTAAACAGCTGCTTCTTTTATATAACGCACTTTTCCTTCCGTATATCAACTACTGCTGTATGCTTTACAGCAACACTTATATTACAAACGTAGATAAGCTCGAGAAATTACAAAAGCGTGTGGTCAGAATGATTGATGGCGAACATAGACTCGCACACACAGCACCAACTTTTAAGAAACTGAAAATACTTAAGTTGAGAGACATTGGTAAGCAGCAGATGCTTCTGCTAATGCATAGAAAGTTGAAAGGAACTTTGCCTTCATCTATTGACAGACTTTTTACGATACTCGAACCGCTTCGAGATACTCGCTCGACCCATCATTTCCACGAGTTCTTCTCAGAAAAAAATTATCGCAGCTACACTACTAGGTGGTCTGCACCTAGAATTTGGAACTCAATAATTGGTCCTAAGTTCACAGATATGGAAGCAGTTCCACTAACAAAGAGAGAAATCAAGGATTTCTCAAAGCAGTTTTTTATCGATCAATACTGATACCATTGCCAACACTGACATTTATGTTCTTGTGTTCCACCTGCGTTCGTAAACATACGAATACCTGCCAATGAAATGATCCCCCATTTTATTTATTGTGGGTATGTACGTACATTTACCTGATAATGTATTTTTTACCCGCTCTCTCACAGGTACATACTTGCACAGTACATAGTTATATGTACACAATTACAGAATTTGTCTTTAATGCATATCACTTATGCATACCTAATTTTGGAGCATTGTACATCTCTGTAACTGGGTAGGTATGTTCTAACTGGGTACCTAGATCGCCACAAGAGGTGGTGGTATTTAGTGGTCCTTATGTCTTTTCCCTGTTTGTCTTTTACTTCTTCTCGAACTTTTATCCCACATTTTTGTTTTGCCCTTTTCTTTTTGTTAAGCTTTGCTTTTTCTCCCTATAAACATCATACAGTACGTACAGTACTAACTGTATGTCTTTGAATCATCGCCATCGCTCAATGACCTAGCTTTCTGTCTATTTACATTACTTGCTATTTGTATACCGGTCGTCTCGTCTTGTTTTGTGTACTTACAAGTCACACTTAAGTCCTCCTGGATACGTAACAATACGTAAATCAGCCCTACGATACTTCCCACCGAACTGGGTTTACCGAGCAACAAGCTTGCTTAGCTCGGTATCCCTTTTCGGTGAGGATCTGACTCCTCCGGGTGTGACTAGGCTCTGTCCCTCTTCTATGATGCAAGCTTTGCATGCGCTTATTACCACTAACCCCTGGATCACTCTCTCCTTCTCACTATCTTCTTTGGGAATGGTGTAGCGGCCAGTCAAGCTACATTTAGTCTTGACTTCTTTGCCTCTTCTTATGACATTTTACTAACTTACTAAGTATTGTATTTAGCTTTGTTTTGTTTGCTTTCCTTTTTCTTAGCAGGGAGTGTCGCGACTTTCTTCATATTTTTGTCTTGGGAGGTGTTAACGTAAGGTGCTGTTGTCGCGTGGGTCAGTGGGTGGACACTCCTGGTCGTCTGATCATGGGCGGCGGCTTAGAAAAAAAAAATTATTAATTGATCAAGCTTAAAGTGCATCGACATGTTTTAATCAGCGAGGGAAAGAGAGAGGGAGGGGGAATAGAAAAAGACAGAAAGGAGAAGAGAGAGAGAGAGAGAGAGAGAGAGAGAGAGAGAGAGAGAGAGAGAGAGAGAGAGAGAGCGAGAGCGAGAGCGAGAGCGGGAGCGAGAGCGAGAGCGAGAGCGAGAGCGAGAGCGAGAGCGAGAGCGAGAGCGAGAGCGAGAGCGAGAGCGAGAGCGAGAGCGAGAGCGAGAGCGAGAGCGAGAGCGAGAGCGAGAGCGAGAGCGAGAGCGAGAGCGAGAGCGAGAGAGAGAGAGAGAGAGCGAGAGCGAGAGCGAGAGCGAGAGCGAGAGCGAGAGCGAGAGAGAGAGAGAGAGAGAGAGAGAGAGAGAGAGAGAGAGAGAGAGAGAGAGCGAGAGCGAGAGCGAGAGCGAGAGCGAGAGCGAGAGCGAGAGCGAGAGCGAGAGCGAGAGCGAGAGCGAGAGCGAGAGCGAGAGCGAGAGCGAGAGCGAGAGCGAGAGCGAGAGCGAGAGCGAGAGAGAGAGAGAGAGACCACCCGACTGACCTGCGCGGCCCGTTTCGTAGACGTTCATGAGCAGGTAGCCGCCGCAGTTGCCGTCTCCGCCGCGGCACGGCATGTTACAGTCGGACAGCGGCATCAGGGCGCGACTGGGCGGCTGCATGTTGCCACACCAGCACTCCTTCCTGTGGGGAAAGACGCGGAGTTGGTGGTCTATTCCGTACGGAGTTGTTGGTCTATTCCGTACAGAGTTTTTGGTCTATTGCGTAGAACAAGAAACGATGGTTAGCGAGCTACATATTGGGTCACGCCAACACCTAATTAGGTAGGTAATCTTGAATACCTAATTGTAACTTACCATCAGACTCAGAAGGCCAAATTGTTAGCCGAAGTGTTTGTCCCTTGGGTCACATAGAGGTGTGAGTGGTGGCACTTAAGAAACGGAAAAAATAAAAATAAAATATCAAGATAGGTATCAAACGGAAAATTATGCAATCATGCCTCCCGCATTGCAAGAAAATAAGGCAAACGTTACAAGAGCAATGTCAGCGTCCCGATGTTACCTTTGAATGGTTATATTGTTTTGCTTTGGACAGACAGCTTCCAGCAGAGGGCCTAATTAAGTAATTAGGAACGAGCATGATAGCATCCATGCGTAGTGGTTGGTGCATTCATCATTTTGAAAGTTAAATAATATAAGAAATTATTTGTGATATTGAGCACGTAAGGGAGACCGAAAGATGAATGAATAAGACAGCAGGCCGTCAGAAATGCATTCAGAGCGACTCAAGAATCAGCCACCGATAGCACATTATCTAAATACTTCTGACAGAATCGTGCCTTCTTTGACGTAAGCATGATCTAGCTCATGCTTAGCGCAGCCCATCGTGGGATCGGGCCCGCCACCCGATCGAGCCATGACAATCATTCCCGGCAGCTGACTTCCAGATACTATCCCCACCGATCGCGACAGCACTCCGTCACAGAATCTGGGGACGGGAATCTGTGGCTGAGCGTGCATTAGGGAGCTTTATTACCCCGGTGCCCATCGAACGCCCGACACTGGCCAATGGCCTTCCCGTTCAGTTCTCATCGGAGAGCGCCGAACCGGCGGGCCGGGCCGGTCAGTGATTTCAGCGGACCAAACTCGGAGAAATCGCCGGCATCCAATTCGCGCGGCTCAACTTTACGGCCAGCCAAGCCAATGGCGGACTGAAGCTGAGAAATAACGCAGGGCCGTGCGATGCAGGCTTCGACGGGTTCTCACAGAAGATTGGAGGATTACCAGCCAAAGGATAGGGGAGACGGCCGACCCCATCCCAGGCAACACCCAACGGGAAAATAAATAACGGAGAGACGAGATTCAGGTGGCCGATATTGATAGTAGAAGCAGATGGGATCGAGTCACGCAGAAGTTACCCCGTAGAGGAAATCGTTACTGCCTATAAAACAGGATCCAGAACCATTACGGGGTACTCCGGGCACACCACGGAGGCTTAGCATTATGTTTACAACCGCTAGGAGATGGGCGTTGGCTGCACATCAGAAAACGAACACATCCGGTGTAGTTTTCACTGCTAGTTTAGTGCCACGTCCCGGACTGACTACATTTACTGCCAGTCGACAAATATGGTGAACGATAATAATAGTCAATCGGGAAAGAATCTACATTGTTACATCTGATAGGTACCCAGCACTTGATCCCGTGTGACAAAACAAACAAATAAATGGCATTGACACTAGCAATATACATACTTGTAGGTAAACGGAAAACAGTGCTATGTAAACATGCAGGCTGTAGCGTGTGCGCGCTCTACAAATACACGACACACCGATGTATTGAACTTTATATGAGCTCGCCCATACTGCAGGCCGGCGTGACGTAGCTCTCCCGGACGCAGTACTTCTAATTGTGGCGTTTTGCCGTATCATGCTACACTCAACCGTACTGAAGGCCGGCGTAGACGTAGCTCTCCCGTACGCAGTACTCTACACACTATAGGTACAGTGGCGTTACCAGTATAACGCCTTATGGGGCGACTAACGGAGCGAGCGAGAGGGTGGGCATTGCACGTGCGAAATTTCGAGGGGGTACCTCCAACTGACTTGTGCACGGCACCCTACTAACCGGTCTCTAGCGATGTGCCAAATTTGAGCACAATCGGCCCAGCCGTTCTCGAGATCTGGAAGCGGCACCCTGCACGTGCGCACGTGCAAAATGGGTCCCAACTGACTTGTGCACGGCACCCTACTAACTGGTCCCTAACCGTGTACCAAATTTGAGCGCCATCGGTCCAGCCGTTCTCGAGATCTGGAAACGACCCCTGCACGTGCGCACGTGCAGCAGCACCCCAACCTTAACACATGCAGATGAATTATCTGATGGAGACCTAACTGTGTACCGAGTTTCAATTCAATCGGCCCAGCCGTTGTGCCGTTATTAAGGTTGCAATTTTGGGGGTTCTTAAAAAATGTCCAACTTTACCACGCGCCACGTGCGGTGGTTGGCAAGAATGCATGGTGGCCATCACACCACAGAACTTTTACGTCCAAGTGACATTCAGTAAAGAAGACCGCTTGTCAATCGGATGTCCCGTTCCTAAGATATTAGCTTTTGAAGAGCGTCCCCACGGCCGGCCGGCCGGCCGGCCGCTCATACTCAGAAATTTCCGTTAATCTAAGGAAAGACTCCGCTCGCTTCGCTCGCTCCGTAACCAGTATAACGCCTTTTGGGGCGACTAACGGAGCGAGCGAGAGGGTGGGCCTTGCACGTGCGAAATTGCGAGGGGGTACCTCCAACTGACTTGTCCACGGCACCCTTCTAACCGGTCTCTAGCGATGTGCCAAATTTGGGCACAATCGGCCCAGCCGTTCTCGAGATCTGGAAGCGGCACCCTGCACGTGCGCACGTGCAAAATGGGTCCCAACTGACTTGTGCACGGCACCCTACTAACCGGTCCCTAACTGTGTACCAAATTTGAGCGCAATCGGTCGAGCCGTTCTCGAGATCTGGAAACGACCCCTGCACGTGCGCACGTGCAGCAGCGCCCCAACTCTGACACATGGATATGCAGTGCCTAGTGGGTGCCTACCTACATGCCAACTTTCAGCGCAATCGGCCAAGTAGTTAGGGGAGAGTGGGGTGGGTTGTATCAGTTTTTACTCCGAGACCCATAACCTCGTAACTATCCGTGATAAACTCATTATTTCCATACTATCCTCTTCCTTGATTCTTCTGCTTTTTTGTGCAAAGTAACTTTTCCGCTACCTCTACCAGTTTTTATTCTACGGTCTGCCGAATAGAACAATGTTTTTGATACAACTTGCCCCATGGCTTGGGTGAGTTGTATCACATGGTGGGGTAATTTGTATCACTATTTCACGTTTCAGGGAGTGTGCTTGTTACTGGTTTTGAACATAACAGCAACATTAAATGGGGTTAATACAATGTATAGGTATGCTCAAAGGCTTCACTTTATTAGACCAAACTTAGGTCAATGCAATCCGAACGAAACATCAACAGACTAGACGCAAAAGTGGCCCGTTAAAGGGACCCTCCCACCTTCAAAAAAGTTTATGAATTGGCATGAAAGTGATGCCGCTCGGTTCAGAAAGAGCGAAAACGAATATCTACCAAATTTCACCGAAAAATATTCACCGGTTTTCAAGATATTAGACTTTTACTTTTGTTTACTTTTTTGGGATCTCCGCTGTTTCTAGCGACTTTATTTTAGAAGTGCGGCGTTTGCGGCAGATGTTGCGCGCAAATAGCATACACCACCACGTGCTACAAAACGTTTTAGTCAAACATTTAAAAATCGTTAGATATTTGCGCTGACGTCACACATTCAGAGGGGTACTCCTAAGCATTAGCCCCTCTGAATCAAAATGCTGCAATTTTGAAATTCAATATTTCCGATTTAAGGCATTTCTCGATGTTGTGAGGGCCGAAACCGGTAATTGTGAGCCAGGGACCCCATTTTGGCTATCTCAACTCAAATCTAATATTAAGGTGGGAGGGTCCCTTTAAGAGCAAAGAAGCCAACACATTGTGCCGAAATGGAACGAGCATTGACTAGCTACCTACAAACGCGAGCCAGGGCTTAGCTTTCGCGATCAAAAGCAACATACCCATACATACATACATACATATATGTTACAACATACCCCACCCGGCTCTGATACAACATGTACCTAGCCGCCATCTTGGAAAAAACATCCTCGTGCTAAAAAAACAGCGGACAGCTGGAGAAATCCGTTTTCACTCATGCAGCCTTAGAACCTACCCTCACCACCGCTACGGAGATCTTTCAAATTCGTGCACATCTAAATGCCCAAAACACACATTTTCTTGCAACTTATTTTTTTAGAATGACATTAAAAAACATAAAATCGGCTCTCACCTCGAGACGCGTCCACTCAGCCACAAGACAGAACAGGGAAAGATGGCGCCCGGAAAACCTCGTCGGCTGGTCGTGTCGCGAGCGCCATCCATTGGATAAGTTTGGCACAATTCGCCCTGATACAACTTGGACATGATACAACTCTCCCCGCTCTCCCCTACCGAGATATTGCAACAATTACAAAACGGACACCTCTTCGTTTTGCACGTGGCACGTGCATAAGGGGTCACCCACATGCATCAGGAATAGTCCAATACTTGGTAGAAGGAATGAAGCTACCCTACAAAAATTACCGCGTGTAAATCGGTCAAGTGGTTGCTGAGATATAAGCCTCGCAAAAGCGTGACCACGGCCGGCCGGCCGGCCGGCCGGGGCCGGCCGGCCGCTCATACTCAGAAATTTCCGTTAATCTAAGGAAAGACTACGCTCGCTTCGCTCGCTCCGTAATCATACTACACTCACCCATACTGCAGGCCAGCGTAGACGTAGCTCTCCCGTACGCAGTATCCTAGGCATACACTTTAGGCTACCGTATACCGTATCATGCTATGCTCACCCGTACTGAAGGCCAGCGTAAACGTAGCTCTCGCGGACGCAGTATTCTATGCAGTCCTCTGTCGCGTTCACAGCGCCCATGATAGACGGCAACAGTCGCATAGTGCGGCTGTCCTGGAAACAGCCCAACTGGCGACCGTACTCGTGACCTGAAATACAAGGGAACGGCGACAGTGAGTAGAGCGAGAGGTCCCGGGTTCGAGACCCGTGGAGCGGTGACTTTCAATGACTTTGTTGTGGCCTGTGGGAGCTAAAGTCATTCATGATATGTTTACGTGCTTACAATGAAACCATGATCTGTGTAAATCAGGGCTGCGGAGTCGGAGTCGGAGTCGGAGTCGGAGTCGGTCGGAGTCGACAGTTGTGACCGGAGTCGGAGTCGGAGTCGGAGTCGATTTTAAAAACCCGAGCCGGAGTCGGAGTTGGAGTCACCAAAAATCTGTTGACTCCGCAGCCCTGCTAGGTCTGCGGAGTCGGAGTCGGGAGTTGGAGTCGGTCGGAGTCGACAACTCTGCCCGGAGTCGGAGTCGGGGTCGGAGCTGGTTTTTGAAAGCCGGAGTTGGAGTCGGAGTCGGAGTCGCCGAAAATCCATCGACTCCGCAGCCCTGGTGTAAATACAATACAACAATGAGAAAAGCTGGACAGCGAAAATGACCGCATTGAAGGGGAGTCCCGCGAGCGCGGTCTTAAACCATTTACAGACGACTTTTAAAATCCTTTGCATCCACACAGCACGAGAATGCTACCCAGGGCATGAGACCAACATTCTCTTCCAAAGATCCCGCGCGGTATTAATTCCACCACACTGGCAGACCTGTTGAAAAATGCGTCACACTAGACACCGTATGTAATTCCTCTGGCGGCCCCGGTCCAAATTCATTGCGCGGAATGCGAATCATTCGCCATACGCCGCCTGACATCCCATTGTGGTTATGGCACCCTGGTGATGAGCCATGTCGCATATCTGTGAGACGTCGCCTCCGGAGGGCCCTGCCGCTCGGCCCACAAAGGCATCGCTGAAACCAGTAGTGTTAGGGCCTTGGGTGAAACGCCTTGGGTGAAACATTGATGGCATGAATTCCCAACAGCGAAAGGCACTTGCCGAGAGCGCTGAGGGAGCCCTTCAGTGATCTATTTGTAGTTACTATCACCATATTTTGGTTGTGTGTGATTTGTGAGCCGCGCAAAATAAGTTAAAATGTTCCAGACCAAAAAGCTTGTACCTATTCCTTGAGGATATCGAGGCGGAAGGATGACAACTTCATATTTTTAGGCAAGCATTGACCAACGTATGTATACCAAAACCTGCAAAAAGCAGTTGTGTTGAACAAGGTACGACGAAGCATTTCGATGAATCGCAACCATATCACCATAACTAAAACAATGGCAAGTCCTTCCGCATAACCCGTCCTGGCAAGAGGAAGGAGGCCACCACCCGGTGACACCCCGAATCATGTAAACTACCGAGCCCATCACTACACAGAAGTGTCTCGTTCCGGATGTTCAGGAAACCCTGCCGGATCTTGCACGGCGGCAGGGTTTGACTAGAGCTTCATTCAGACTGTAGTTAACAATAGTCACCCCGGATTCTTCCTGTTCAATCAACATCAAACAGGTGGCACAAACGGTAAAATTAATGCAGCTCGGGCAAAGCAGTTTTGAAGACGCTTCAAACTATCTGAATAGCGTAATGCGCATGCTGTAAATAACACCTCGAATCAGGGGAAGGCCTGATTGCGAGTGGGGAAGGGCCTTACTTCAGATAACAAAGCATGTAAACAAAACCTCATGTAAGTAAGCATAACCACTGTTATCAACTATCGACCAAATACATAGATATTACTGCTGTTCCATTCAAACCTTAAAGTACAACACAAGACGGACGTCGCTAAGAAGCGTTGACCACCGACCATTGCAGTGGGCTCCTGACCGACCCGTTGTGACAATAGATGCAGCAGACTTCGAGGGGCAAGACCGATACACACATAAACAGTACACTGACGGATCGCAGGTCATGGTATGACTGGATTGGAACATACGGTCTGTTCGTCTGCCTGAATGTCTTTCTGTCTGTCTGTCTATCTGTCTGTCTGCACCGTGCACGTAGGTATCCGTCCCACCATCTCCACATGTGCATCATGGCAAGCATGCAGACATGCCTGTCTTTTTAACTCCGCCTCCCAGCTATTTCTTACACTATGCTATGCACTGATTACGTAGATATATGATACAATGGGTCATGGGAGCTTTAGCCGTGCCTGATGACGACATTGAAGTCACTTGAAGTGTGTGCAAACATGCTAAAAATGGGGTACGTCTCATAACATTAAGACAAAGGAAAATCATCCGGCTTCATCCATATTGCTCCAGCTGAGCAGAGGAAAAGAAATCATAAAAATCCAAACACGCTCCACGAAGGACCACTTTCCTGAACACTGCGATCAAAGAAGATGATGCAGTTCACTAACCGGAACAATCCGCATTTGTCCGCTTTGGCAGCATTGTTACCATATTACAAAGCCGCTGACTAAAAACAAGTTACATGCACTTGATAAGCCGGGTTAGTGAGCACGCTTAACACGGCATATCAGTGAACTTCAGGTGGATTTCGTGGTACCATGAGTTGAGAGGCATGTTACAAGAGTGCATGTTTGACGAAGCTGTGATCTGACCCTTTAACATAAAGGTCAAAGCGGTGTGATCATACGCATGGGAAACTAAAAGATCCCGACCAAAAACTAATATTTAAAAGTTATCAACTCGAATGCCCAAGTGCCCATCTTGAAAAAAAAAAATCGAAAAATGGCCCGGAGCTTTAAAGAGTACGTTAGGAACATTAAATATTATTTGATATGCTGGGTGCTTGATCCTATGGCAATGTCCAATCCCATCCTGCTCTCGACCGTCGACCTCGCAAGTCCCTTGTAGACCACACTCTCTCCGCTTCTACACGTGAAAAATGCACGAGCAGAGCATGGTCATTGGTCACGGTACACCGCACCGACGCACGTGCGAACAGGCGCACCTCACCACCCGACCGGTCCCACTGCAGGTGCACCTTCTGACCGCCAAGATCTAGACGGAACAGCTCCGCGGGGTTCAACCCTCAATCCATTACGTCCAAGGGGGGCACGTGCTTATGTTTGATGCACCGTCTTCAGTAAACGGCATCTTAAATGTCAAGTAGTATTATAAAGGAGCTTATGTTATGCCATCACGCTGCCCAGAATGCAGCGGTGTGACCATTTGATGTCATGTGGTATAGTGGAAGACAAAGCAGAATAAAGCTGGTCAAGCTCTTCGTGTGGCGTGTATGAACGTCATCGAGTTCAACTTGCGCTTCAGCAATCTCGGCTACGTAAGCAGAAGAAATGTCGTAAGCACGCTATGGAAACCGACAGCCCGGCAGAACAAGGATAAGGATGATAAATAAGGAGCGCAAGGTACGTACTTCACCATAATGCAAGATTTTACCCGCTTTTTTAGTATTTGTTAAGTCACCTCTATATGTAGAGGTGACTATGAACATTGGATATGCTCAATTGCCCATTGCTCACAATGCTCAGTCATATTAAACAATACATTTTGTTTTAACCCAAGGCGCGATGAACACTCAAGTTTCTCATTGTCGCATCCATAAACAGCGCACTTACTGCTGAGTGCTGAGATCCATAAATTAAGCCCACTATGCAGGAAAAACTGAGGCGACGGACACATGCCTATTGCCTAAAAAAGTCTGTGCTTGCGCGACATTGCAGCAGCTGAACTACGCAGCACATCAGGCGTCACGCACGTAGTCAGGCCGCGGTACGGCTCCTGCCCAGTAGGCATTTATATATGATTGAGCTCAGCATGTCCAGCAAGCAGTTAGGAAAAAGTCACGGATACTTTCTCTGCCTAACTTCCATGGTACTATTGGCATAGCAAGACGTTGAGCTATTGGCAGGACAAGATATCACAAATAGAACGACGTCTATATCAATCAGTTAAACGCAGAAGACCACAAAAAGCAGACTAACGCTGTTGAAGCCATCTCAATGAAATCACTAGGCTACAACGCAACTAACTCAACCGTATCACATCGTTGACATTTCTACCCACCAATCTCTCAGCACTATTTGAGAGCAATCTGGAGCTCGATACTCCAAATACCTACTCCCCACTCCCACCTCCTGCCGATCAAAATAGTAGCCGGCGCAGTTACTGCCCGTTCAACCAGCCTCAAGTGGCATTGATCGCTTCATATTACCGCGTCAACAAACCCCCCCACGCCGCACCAGGCGATACTTCGGCGCAGGCTGTCTACCGGTTATAACACAGGCAACAGATTTCAGATTATGGGTAAGCTGGCGCAACGATTGTCCCAATACTTATCTCCATCTCTCTTACACGCGATTTCAGCCATCTTCAACCTTCAACCACGCATATCTGACAACAGCCCCTCGACCCTATCTACCCCAACCTCTCTCAATCGACCGTGGAGTCACCATCATAAATTCCCGGCACGGAGCGCCGACTGAAAGCGTCTCTCTTCCACCGGCAAGACACAGTGCGTAATTAAATAGAAACCCCCGCGAAAAGTTGGCGACTTCAGCGCGAGCGAGGCGAAGAAGAAGAAAAACTCGCCCGGCAATTTTCCGCCAGCGTTTGTGTTTAGAGCCCACGGCGATCCCCTAGGCTGAGTTGGAGAAGTTAGACTGAGACCGGCTTTACCGGACGGAGCGAGCAGAAATGGGTGGGAGGGACACCACAAGAAAGGCACAACCAGGGGAGGGGCGAATATTGGGCCAGCAAAGAATGGCGAAACAGTCAGGGAGGCGTTGAGAAGCGTAATGGCAGCCTTTTTTGTCTGTCAGAAGATGAAGGTACGGACAAGTGGAATTGTTCAGACGGGTCTAGCAGCCGAACATGCGACGCTCTAGTCCCATAAAAGAGGAAAACATCCCATGAATTTGTGTTAGCTAATAGCTTGTATGAATGAATGCATGATATTCGAGGATACTTCGAGATAAAGCGCGTAACGGGGCAGGAAAGGTGCCGTTCGTGGTCCGGTTTCCTAATAATGTTGCAGTTCGAAATAAGATCTACAAGGCCCCTTCCAACAAAATGAAAAAACGGATCTTGTAAAATAGCAAAAAGGCGTACCTGG